AATATCTTTATTAATTAAATAAAAATATATTTGTATATATAGTATATTAGTAGGTATACAGATTAATCTTTATTGTAATTATATGTTGCAACTATAATTTAACATAAATTAATCTTTAAGCGAAATGATAAAGTGTTAATCATAAAAATTCACAGCAGTAAAATATATATAGTTAATTCTCTCTCTATATACATATACGAGTTATCTATAGATATCTTAACTTATCGAGAGAGTCAATTTCTTCTATAACCATACATTATATTTGTGAGAAATAATATTTGGAATAGTATTTGGAATTTGCCGATTAAAAAACAATTCAAGTGATAAACATCAAATATTTAAAATATTAAAATTTTGCAAACCTAAATAAGTAAGACGTATGTATATACAATATTTAAACAATTCAAATCTAATTTAATTATAATAAAAAAAATTGTGTGATTTTAAGAGGAAATAAATAAAAACTAATTTTATATTTAATTTATAATCATTATATTGCTTTTATCTAAATTTCCTTTGACATTTAAATTGTTTAAAAGATCAGATCTTATTTAGGTAATTTGCAAATTGATTAAGTGATTATACATATATTTATTTATAAACGAGTTTATAATCAAATTTAAAATTCGACTTTTTATATAACATTATTATTTGGTTTGTATATAATATATTTTTTATTTATTATTGAAAGCAATACATAAAACTCGCACGTATTAAATCAATTTAAAAAAATGAATGGCATTTATGTTTTAAATTATTCTGCGTTTAACTATTGTTTAAATAATTTAAAAAATCAATTCTTATTTGTAAATTCTAATTTTTGTTTTTTCAACAATCGAATCAAGTTTTCAGATTATTGAATATAATTCAAAATTCTAGATAGTTGAAATCTTTTTTTCTTTTATAGTTGGAATATCAACTTTAATAAAACTATTTTTTCTTAGTTTTTTACTTTATTATTAATATTAATATTAATTAAACTTGTGTTTCAGAGTTTTGAATTTTTATATTAAAGATGTATTTCTCTCATTTTGTTGGCTGTATAAATTAAATATAACATTGTCTCATAATACCGTTGAAACAATATATTGTTTTTGCTCTTATAATATTTCTCTAATTTTAATCGACTTTCTGCGACAGATATTTCATTTTTTACTGAATTAATTTCATTTTTACATTAAAGGACAAAATTCAATTGTGTGCATTCATTCTTCAATTTTATATTATATTAAAGCACATATTCAAATTATTTAATGATTGATGACATTATCTATCATGCGACGACTGTCTCCAAGCTATAATATTGGGTTGTC